TTATTTTTAATTTGATTTGTGTCAGATGAGTTATTAAAAACTTCGTCATATTCTTGTAAAATTACTTTCGGAATTTGTATTTTTACTGAATTTGATAGAGTATTTGCTGCTTTTACGTATGCTTTACCATTATTATTTGTGACTATAGCGTTTCCTATGTAAACTCCAGGTTCAGTATTTAAAAGTGGAACATATCCTTCTTTTAAATTAGAATTTTTAACAAATAAAAATATGTCAGATATTGATCGAGGTGGGAGAGTAATAAAATTTCTTGATGCGAAATAGAACATTTTTCCTTTGACTTCTAAACATTTTTCAGCATAATTAATTTTGACATTATTATCTGTAAAATATTCTGATCCTAAAACTCCATCTTCTTCTATGGGAACTTCATTAGGTATTATGTTAAAAGTTGTTGGATAACCAAAGATATTTAATTTTGTTTGACCTAGTGTGTGTACAGGGTGTTCATTAATACCTGTAAGTTGTATTTTTTTAAATTTATTTAAAGTCATTGTGGAATCAAGCATTTTTTCTTTTAAAAGATTTAATCCTGCTCCTGTATCAATCATTAAATGAAGTGGTTTAGAAATTGTATTAACATAAATAGATGGTATCATATTTCCTTTAGTACAATTGATTTGAATGGTTTCTAAATGTTCAGATATTTGCTTTTTAGGCACGCTTTTTCTGTTAGCACCTGTCCCATCGTACCCGACATGGGAAGGTATTATTCGTTTCCCTGGTTCATTAATGTGGATGATCGATTCTGTTGACCTTGATTATAATTATTATATTCTCTTTTTCTGCAATTTTTAATAACATGCCCACGATTTTTGCAATATTTACAAGTAACATTAAAAAATCTATTTTGTTGATTAGTACGAAAATCATTTTTATTTGGAAATTGTGAGTTTGTTCTATTATGTAAATTTTGGGGAAAACCCGAGAATCGTAATTGTAAAGGGGAATGCTTTTGTTCACTAAACGAGGGGGACATCCCTCTTCTTAGATAATAGACAGGTGGTCTCTGCTTCATGCGGAATACGGAGCGCTGGTACCTATGCTGTGTTGAGTATTGATTTTTTTCTGACCTACGACAAGTGCGTGAAGTATGTCCTTCTACATTACAATTTTGACATACTACTATATCTGTACTAGCAAATGTAATTTTTGCATTATTTGGCCTACAAGAATTTTCTTTTCTAAGCTCTACAACCGCATTTAATTTTCGTTCTGCCTCTAATGCTTTGTTTGTTGTTTCTTTTAAAGTTATGCAATCTGGAATTCGAATCTCTAATTCTGGACGTAGCCCTCGACGAAAACAGGATATTATATCTACTTCTAAATTTTTTAACATCGTTTCGGATAATTTACCGTCTTTACTCGATAATCTGTATGAGTCAAAAATCTGATCCGATAATTCTTTTACTCGATTCGCATACGATATGACACTTTCATTTTCCTTCATAAAAATATTTCCTAACTCTCCTTGCAATTGATAGATACTTTTATTTGGTAAATATATCTTCTTTAAATGAGCTTCTAACTCCAAAATTGTTTTAAAAATATTTCCCGATATTGATTTTCTAACTTCTCCTATTAACTTTCCACGAATTAATTTTACTAAATTTTCCTCCACTTGGGGTGAATCTGGCAACATTAATTTTGCTTCATGGCAACCTTCTATAAATGAAACTACTGGAATATTTTTTCCATCGAACACAGGCACTAATTCTAACGCGTCGCGAAGAGATACTTGTTGATTATTTGGGAGAGACATTTTTACTGATTTCTCTAATATTGAAATAAAAGATTCTTTGTTTGGTGTAGATGAATGTTTTGATTTTAGTTCAAGAAGATTATTTTCAAAAGCATTAAATGTTTGTTCACTCTCTATTTCTGTGCTAATTTTTAAAGTACTATCGTTTTCGGAAATTTTTGAATCGAATGATTGAGTTTTAATAGGGGGAGAATGAACAACTTTTGGACGAGTTTCTAAATTTCCGGCTTTAGTATGACTTCTAAGACAACGATCAGGTGTTGGGTTAAAAATGGGATCATTTTTCTCAGACATAAAGTTTAATTAGAATTTTGCATATTTGAATTAATCACAAATATTTGACTGCTTTCACTTTTGGATCGACTTTCACTTATAGAATTATCACTTGTGTTTTATGTAAGTAGGAATTAAAGGAATTTTGGAATTGTTGGTTCAAGAATTTTTTCTTCTCTCTCATAAGGTATTTAAGAAAAATATGAATTTAATTTCTTTTTCATGATCACAAGGGAAAATGCACTAAAAATTATAAATTTTAAATTTATATTCTCTTTCTTGTTCACAGCGGTCGATGCACCAAAAATTATATTTTGAGTGCATAAATTTTTAAATTTATATTCTCTTTCCTGTTCACAGCGGCCGATGCACCAAAAATTATATTTCCTCTGTTACGTCTCAGAAATAGAGAAATAACTAACGAAATAATATTTTATTTTATTTATGGCCGCTCGGTGATTCAGTAAATTCCTGTTTCATTTACAGAGCAGAAGACTCTGAGCTAAGGGTACAGGAAAGAAAGAGAATAGAGATTTTTAATGTTAATGTTATACTTTATTTATGACAAACACTTAGGGTAAAATTGTTTTTAAGAGAGAGAGAATCTTGAAGCAACCAATCCAAGGAAAAAAGAGTTCAGCATTCCACTGAAACAAGGAATTCAAATGGTTACTACAGATTTATGAGAATGTAGGAAAAGTGGGGGTGTAAATATAAAACACTTACCTTTAAAATTAGAAGTAAGATATATGAATAGGACCACTGTGGTGTCTTCTGATTTGGCAGGTAAAAGGGCTGGTACCAGTAGATTTTATACGTCTCAGGAAGGTTGACGGGCCCAGGTAATGACCACAGGTCCGGAGTTCGGAATTGCCGTGACGAAGACCCACAATGAGATTCCTCCACAAAAAGGAAAGATGGTTATTTTCCAATTATATGGAAAATCACAGGTCCTTAGGTTGATGAGTGCTCCTTTTTGTGTAGAATTTTACGGCACTTGACTAGAATAGAAATCGTCCAAATGACTGGATTCCGTAAAAAGCACTATGAACTGGCACTGATATCCAAAATGACGAGTAGAAATAACGTAGATGAGGTGAAGTTTCGAACTGACGGTATCGGTGGTAATTTCTGAACTGAACTCTCCGTAAAAAAGTAGCCCTTTTATATCAAGTTTTTCATAAGGGAGACTATATGATTCCATTGGCTTGCATTGCTAAGACTATCTCTTTCTTTTTTATTATCCACAACGAGGGTTTTTGTGATTAAATTACAGAATTTAGAAAGAGCACACCACTGCGATGAAATCGCAGGTGTAAGCGAGAAACACTACAGGGGTGGTATATCTGATTATATTATAGAATTTAGAAAGAGAAAGTCTACGTGGTGAATCGTAGCTGTTAGAAAGGGACACTCATTTATGCCCTTTTAAGGTAATACTGAGTTTCTCGCTTCTAATTGTATATTTTTAGAAATACAATATGTGAACGTAGAACGATACAAAACGCAAGGGTCTTTATACATAAAAGAAAAGATGTTTGGCCACGCGACAAAGGGGCGGGAGTTTACAATTAAGTGAAAGGTATTTTAGATGCGTAACAAAAACACGGGTGTTAGTCGCAGAGACATTCAGCTTAGTATTGATTTAAAAAAAAAAAGAATTCTTACAATTTTGAATATAAAAGTTACGGTGACGTGACACTAAGGTGTCAAAATTAAAAAGCTCCAATTTCAATGTTATCGAATTTTATAAAATAGAATTTATATTGAATTAAATTTTCATATTTCAGAATTTTTATTTAACTCAATTCATAGTTAAAGAAACTTTTATATAAATATATTTCTATAGGGTCAGTTGGGGTAAATGGGGACAAAATCGCTATTTTTCACAAATTACGTAAGTTTCTTCCTTTAAAAGGTAATATTTGCGGGGTTTTTTTTTTAAGTTGTTATTTACATTCCCAGGATTAATTTTATGCAGCAGAAAAAAATTTAGATACAGTTTAAACGCATGAAACTGACTGTTCCCATTTACCCCAAAATTTTGAAAATTTCATAAAATTTGGGGTAAATGGGGACAGCATAGTTTCTAAGAAAGTTTTAAGAAAAAAGTTTCCTTAAGTATATTACTGTATATTAAGGGATGAAAAAACTTGAAAAAAATTTGTAGTAGATATAATAGTTGAACCAATTGAAATTTTTAAACTTTTTTTTATTTCAGTATTTTCTCTCGCATTTCAAAGAAAACAGACTTAAAAATCATACTAAATTTTTTTCTTATTCCTCATGACACCCATAACAGAAATTCACATGATTTTTGTTAATTTGGTTAATAATGACAAGCTGTCCCCATTTACCCCAAAAATTTGAAAACTCAGGGTAAATGTGGACAGCTTGTCATTATTAACTAAATTGACAAAAATTAAAATTTCAAGTGAATTTCTGTTATGGGAGTCATAAGGAATAAGAAAAAAATTTGATATGATTTTTAAGTCTGTTTTCTTTGAAATGCTCGACAAAATACTGAAAGAGTTAGACTTTGATTTTCAAGTTTTTATATATGCATTGAGTGATAACCGAGGGGGAATTTACTCAGGTAGTCAAGTGTAAACTCTTCCTGTAATACTTGTGTAATATCGTGTAATACCGTGTAATAATGCGTTATTACGGTACTGTAATATCTGTCTGTAATATCTCTGTAATAATGTGTAATACTAATATAAATTCTACTTTATAAAATTCGGTAGCATAGAAATTCAAGTCTATTAATTTGGAAACCGTAGAAATTCCAAAAAATTCAAATTGGGGAATATTCATGCGTCATATTCGTTTTCCTAAAAAATGTTAAAGGAAAAAAAAGATGCGCCTATTTATTTCCTACCCTTATTGTAGGTTTGACTGGCTTCAGAGCGTACAGTCGAGAGTAGCGCGAGTTATTAGGTCGGTGAAGTTCACATCGATTATGATCATCGAAAATTTAAAATCCAAGTTACTCTATAAACACAACAAAAACGTACAAATAACTTCAAAAAAAGAATATACATAACAAAAAAATTCAGTTCAACCCCAATTTCATTTAAAAACCACCCCTAGTATAACCCCCTATAATGACACATTGAAAAAAAATTCACCAAAAATTCAATTTTTCTTAGGCTCAAAATTTTTTTTCATATTCTCGCACTAAACACACCTACAAGTGTTGAAAAAAATTGACACCCCAAAAAAAGTGGGGGAAAGTCCCCAAAACCTACCCTAAAGACCCCATCTTTAATAAAAAAATTCCCAAAAAATTCATTTTTTCATAGGCTCAAAATGTTTTTTCATATTCTCGCACTAAACACACCTACAAGTGTTGAAAAAAATTGACACCCCAAAAAAAGTGGGGGAAAGTCCCCAAAACCTACCCTAAAGACCTCATCTTTAATAAAAAAATTCCCAAAAAATTCATTTTTTCTTAGGCTCAAAATTTTTTTTTCATATTCTCGCACTAAACACACCTACAAGTGTTAAAAAAAATTGACACCTCAAAAAAAGTGGGGGAAAGTCCCCAAAACCTACCCTAAAGACCCCATCTTTAATAAAAAAATTCCCAAAAAATTCATTTTTTCTTAGGCTCAAAATTTTTTTTCATATTCTCGCACTAAACACACCTACAAGTGTTGAAAAAAATTGACACCCCAAAAAAAGTGGGGGAAAGTCCCCAAAACCTACCCTAAAGACCCCATCTTTAATAAAAAAATTCCCAAAAAATTCAATTTTTCTTAGGCTCAAAATGTTATTTCATATTCTCGCACTAAACACACCTACAAGTGTTGAAAAAAATTGACACCCCAAAAAAAGTGGGGGAAAGTCCCCAAAACCTACCCTAAAGACCCCATCTTTAATAAAAAAATTCCCAAAAAATTCATTTTTTCTTAGGCTCAAAATTTTTTTTCATATTCTCGCACTAAACACACCTACAAGTGTTAAAAAAAATTGACACCTCAAAAAAAGTGGGGGAAAGTCCCCAAAACCTACCCTAAAGACCCCATCTTTAATAAAAAAATTCCCAAAAAATTCATTTTTTCTTAGGCTCAAAATTTTTTTTCATATTCTCGCACTAAACACACCTACAAGTGTTGAAAAAAATTGACACCCCAAAAAAAGTGGGGGAAAGTCCCCAAAACCTACCCTAAAGACCCCATCTTTAATAAAAAAATTCCCAAAAAATTCATTTTTTCTTAGGCTCAAAATTTTTTTTCATATTCTCGCACTAAACACACCTACAAGTGTTGAAAAAAATTGACACCCCAAAAAAAGTGGGGGAAAGTCCCCAAAACCTACCCTAAAGACCCCATCTTTAATAAAAAAATTCCCAAAAAATTCAATTTTTCTTAGGCTCAAAATGTTATTTCATATTCTCGCACTAAACACACCTACAAGTGTTGAAAAAAATTGACACCCCAAAAAAAGTGGGGGAAAGTCCCCAAAACCTACCCTAAAGACCCCATCTTTAATAAAAAAATTCCCAAAAAATTCAATTTTTCTTAGGCTCAAAATGTTATTTCATATTCTCGCACTAAACACACCTACAAGTGTTGAAAAAAATTGACACCCCAAAAAAAGTGGGGGAAAGTCCCCAAAACCTACCCTAAAGACCCCATCTTTAATAAAAAAATTCCCAAAAAATTCATTTTTTCTTAGGCTCAAAATTTTTTTTCATATTCTCGCACTAAACACACCTACAAGTGTTAAAAAAAATTGACACCTCAAAAAAAGTGGGGGAAAGTCCCCAAAACCTACCCTAAAGACCCCATCTTTAATAAAAAAATTCCCAAAAAATTCATTTTTTCTTAGGCTCAAAATTTTTTTTCATATTCTCGCACTAAACACACCTACAAGTGTTGAAAAAAATTGACACCCCAAAAAAAGTGGGGGAAAGTCCCCAAAACCTACCCTAAAGACCCCATCTTTAATAAAAAAATTCCCAAAAAATTCAATTTTTCTTAGGCTCAAAATTTTTTTTCATATTCTCGCACTAAACACACCTACAAGTGTTGAAAAAAATTGACACCCCAAAAAAAGTGGGGGAAAGTCCCCAAAACCTACCCTAAAGACCCCATCTTTAATAAAAAAATTCCCAAAAAATTCAATTTTTCTTAGGCTCAAAATGTTATTTCATATTCTCGCACTAAACACACCTACAAGTGTTGAAAAAAATTGACACCCCAAAAAAAGTGGGGGAAAGTCCCCAAAACCTACCCTAAAGACCCCATCTTTAATAAAAAAATTCCCAAAAAATTCAATTTTTCTTAGGCTCAAAATGTTTTTTCATATTCTCGCACTAAACACACCTACAAGTGTTGAAAAAAATTGACACCCCAAAAAAAGTGGGGGAAAGTCCCCAAAACCTACCCTAAAGACCCCATCTTTAATAAAAAAATTCCCAAAAAATTCATTTTTTCTTAGGCTCAAAATTTTTTTTCATATTCTCGCACTAAACACACCTACAAGTGTTGAAAAAAATTGACACCCCAAAAAAAGTGGGGGAAAGTCCCCAAAACCTACCCTAAAGACCCCATCTTTAATAAAAAAATTCCCAAAAAATTCAATTTTTCTTAGGCTCAAAATTTTTTTTCATATTCTCGCACTAAACACACCTACAAGTGTTGAAAAAAATTGACACCCCAAAAAAAGTGGGGGAAAGTCCCCAAAACCTACCCTAAAGACCCCATCTTTAATAAAAAAATTCCCAAAAAATTCAATTTTTCTTAGGCTCAAAATGTTTTTTCATATTCTCGCACTAAACACACCTACAAGTGTTGAAAAAAATTGACACCCCAAAAAAAGTGGGGGAAAGTCCCCAAAACCTACCCTAAAGACCCCATCTTTAATAAAAAAATTCCCAAAAAATTCAATTTTTCTTAGGCTCAAAATTTTATTTCAAATTCTAGCACAAAACACACCTACAAGTGTTGAAAAAAATTAGCACCCCAAAAAAAGTGGGGGAAAGCCCCCAAAACCTACCCTAAAGTCCCCATCTTTGATAAAAAAAAATTCAATTTTTCTTAGGCTCTCAATTTTATTTCAAATTCTTGCACTAAACACACCTAAAAGTGTTAAAAAAAATTGACACCCCCTAACAAGTTGTGGAAAGACTCCAAAAAATTAAAAAATTTCAAATAGAAAATTTATTTCTCGAAAACTAAATGAGAGACCAAAAATTTTATTCTTATTTTGACTTCCTATTTATAGTACACTCAGAAAAAAATTCGTTTAAAGCAACCAAATTTTGGTGAAATCAACAAAAGAAATGCATTGATATACAGTTAACCAAACATGTGATTCCATAAACCAAACGTTTATTTAGTTCAATTAAATTTTTTCTTTGTTCAAAAAATTTATTAAAATAATCTAAACAGTTATTTAGATCAAATAAATATTTATTTGAATTGAACAAATTTTGTTTGAACCAACCAAAAAATTGGGTAAATTTAAAAAAATGGTACATTTGGTTCAAATATATTTTTTTTCTGAGTGTAGATAACTTTAATAAAATGTAAACATCCAAGCCATGTGGGAAATTTGTCTTGTTCACACCCAAATTTTACGTAGCTGAAGTACGCAACGTTTATGACAAACGAAATAATTTGTTAAAATAAAAAATTCTTTAAATTTTTGTCTGAAAAATATTTCTTGTAGTTTTCATTAATCAACAAATTATAAAAAATATTTGTCAAGCAAAAAATTATAGAATTTTACATTTTTAAAAATGGTTTATCATAAACGTTGCGTAGTTCAGCTTTTGTCAAAAGTTGAAAAACGTGAAAAATTTCTATTAAAAAATTTATTTCTCGTAAAGAAAAAGCGAGACTAAATTTTCTGTTTGTTGATTTTACATTCTGGCAATAATTGACAATTGCCAAAATAGTTTGTATATGCAAGCAGTCGGGGAAGTTTGTCGAAGTTGAAAGTTTAAAATTTAGCAAAAAATCACAAAAATTTTATTTGTTTGTGAATATGATGTTTTTTTAAAATGTTTATTTACTAATTGAAACTAAAAACATCATTTTCTATGTGGAAATTTGTAGCCGCGTAGAGAATAAATGTTAAAATCTTTTCAAACAACAGGCGTGATTAGCCTTGAATTTGACTATAGTGTGAAGGCATGAATAGTGAGGATAGAGCCGATCGTGGATATTCGGTTGCGTTCGTCTTTGGTCGGCTCTTTGCTTTACGTTATCCCCACCGCGCCGCTCACTCCACAGACCCCGGCGAAAGTCTATGACTGCTTGGAAATCTGATGTTGCCTTTTTCGTCGTATTTTTTCTCTCTCCACTCGGACCCAATTTAAACGCGGTTGGGTGAAAAAGTGAAGATTCAACGAAGCTGAATTACGCAACGTTTAAATAAAATAAACGATTTTTAAAGAAATAATTTTTCAATTGAAATATTCTTAAAAAATTTTTTTTATAATATGTTGATTAATAAAAACTAAAAAAAATTTTTTAAGTAAAAATTTCTAGATTATTTTAATATATTTTAATAGTAATAATAATAATCTTAATAGGCTGAAGATCGCAATATTTATGATAAACGTTTTTTAAAGAAATAATTTTTTAAAATAAAAATTTTTAAATTTTTACTTTAAAAATTTCTTTGTAGTTTTTATTAATCAACATATTATAAAAAAAAATTTTTTAGAATTTTTCAATTAAAAATTATTTCTTTAAAAATCGTTTATCTTATATAAACGTTGCGTAATTCAGCTTCGTTGAATCTTCACTTTTTCACCCAAGCGCGTTTAAATTGGGTCCGAGTGGAGAGAGAAAAAATACGACGAAAAAGGCAAAATCAGATTTCCAAGCAGTTATAGACTTTCGCCGGGGTCTGTGGAGTGAGCGGAGCGGTGGGGATAACGTAAAGCAAAGAGCCGACCAAAGACGAACGCAGCCGAATATCCACGTTCGTCTCTATCCTCACTATTCTTGCCTCCACACCTTGCTCCACACAATAGTCAAATTCATGGCTAATCACGCCTGATTTTTGAAAGATTTTAACATTTATTCTCTACGCGGCTACAAATTTCCACACAGACAAAATGATGTTTTTAGATTCAATTAGTAAATAAACATTTTAAAAAAACATCATATTCACAAACAAATAAAATTTTTGTGATTTTTTGCTAAATTTTAAATTTTCAGCTTCGACAAACTTTCCCGACTGCTTAAATATGCAAACTATTTTGGCAATCATCAATTATTGTCAGAATGTAAAATCAAAAAACAACAAACAAAAAAATTTAAAAATTTTTTCAAAAAAATACTTTTTGCCAAAATTTTAAGCCTCGCCCGATCGTGGACAAACAATTTTTACAATATTTTTGAAATTTTTAAAAAATGTTTCAATTTTGAATTTTTTAAAATATTTTTGATTTTTAATACTTCATACTTTTATGTATTTTGATGAGCTAATTACGCATATTATAATAATACCCCAAAAATTTGATTTTTATAGCAAAAAACCAGAAAAAAATACTAAATGGTTTTTTTTGTTTATTGGATAAAATATGCAAAATTATAAAAAACTACATAAAATATAAAATTTTAAGCATGAGAAAAATTGAATTTTTTGGGAATTTTTTTATCAAAGATGGGGTGTTTAGGGTAGGTTTTGGGGACTTTCCCCCACTTTTTTTGGGGTGTCAATTTTTTTCAACACTTGTAGGTGTGTTTAGTGCGAGAATATGAAAAAAAATTTTGAGCCTAAGAAAAATTGAATTTTTTGGGAATTTTTTTATTAAAGATGGGGTCTTTAGGGTAGGTTTTGGGGACTTTCCCCCACTTTTTTTGGGGTGTCAATTTTTTTCAACACTTGTAGGTGTGTTTAGTGCGAGAATATGAAAAAAAATTTTGAGCCTAAGAAAAATTGAATTTTTTGGGAATTTTTTTATTAAAGATGGGGTCTTTAGGGTAGGTTTTGGGGACTTTCCCCCACTTTTTTGGGGGTGTCAATTTTTTTCAACACTTGTAGGTGTGTTTAGTGCGAGAATATGAAAAAAAATTTTGAGCCTAAGAAAAATTGAATTTTTTGGGAATTTTTTTATTAAAGATGGGGTCTTTAGGGTAGGTTTTGGGGACTTTCCCCCACTTTTTTTGGGTTGTCAATTTTTTTCAACACTTGTAGGTGTGTTTTGTGCGAGAATATGAAAAAAAATTTTGAGCCTAAGAAAAATTGAATTTTTTGGGAATTTTTTTATTAAAGATGGGGTCTTTAGGGTAGGTTTTGGGGACTTTCCCCCACTTTTTTTGGGGTGTCAATTTTTTTCAACACTTGTAGGTGTGTTTAGTGCGAGAATATGAAAAAAAATTTTGAGCCTAAGAAAAATTGAATTTTTTGGGAATTTTTTTATTAAAGATGGGGTCTTTAGGGTAGGTTTTGGGGACTTTCCCCCATTTTTTTTGGGGTGTCAATTTTTTTCAACACTTGTAGGTGTGTTTAGTGCGAGAATATGAAAAAAAATTTTGAGCCTAAGAAAAATTGAATTTTTTGGGAATTTTTTTATTAAAGATGGGGTCTTTAGGGTAGGTTTTGGGGACTTTCCCCCACTTTTTTTGGGGTGTCAATTTTTTTCAACACTTGTAGGTGTGTTTAGTGCGAGAATATGAAAAAAAATTTTGAGCCTAAGAAAAATTGAATTTTTTGGGAATTTTTTTATTAAAGATGGGGTCTTTAGGGTAGGTTTTGGGGACTTTCCCCCACTTTTTTTGGGTTGTCAATTTTTTTCAACACTTGTAGGTGTGTTTTGTGCGAGAATATGAAAAAAAATTTTGAGCCTAAGAAAAATTGAATTTTTTGGGAATTTTTTTATTAAAGATGGGGTCTTTAGGGTAGGTTTTGGGGACTTTCCCCCACTTTTTTTGGGGTGTCAATTTTTTTCAACACTTGTAGGTGTGTTTAGTGCGAGAATATGAAAAAAAATTTTGAGCCTAAGAAAAATTGAATTTTTTGGGAATTTTTTTATTAAAGATGGGGTCTTTAGGGTAGGTTTTGGGGACTTTCCCCCATTTTTTTTGGGGTGTCAATTTTTTTCAACACTTGTAGGTGTGTTTAGTGCGAGAATATGAAAAAAAATTTTGAGCCTAAGAAAAATTGAATTTTTTGGGAATTTTTTTATTAAAGATGGGGTCTTTAGGGTAGGTTTTGGGGACTTTCCCCCACTTTTTTTGGGGTGTCAATTTTTTTCAACACTTGTAGGTGTGTTTAGTGCGAGAATATGAAAAAAAATTTTGAGCCTAAGAAAAATTGAATTTTTTGGGAATTTTTTTTATTAAAGATGGGGTCTTTAGGGTAGGTTTTGGGGACTTTCCCCCACTTTTTTTGGGGTGTCAATTTTTTTCAACACTTGTAGGTGTGTTTAGTGCGAGAATATGAAATAAAATTTTGAGCCTAAGAAAAATTGAATTTTTGGTGAATTTTTTTTCAATGTGTCATTATAGGGGGTTATACTAGGGGTGGTTTTTAAATGAAATTGGGGTTGAACTGAATTTTTTTGTTATGTATATTCTTTTTTTGAAGTTATTTGTACGTTTTTGTTGTGTTTATGGAGTAACTTGGATTTTAAATTTTCGATGATCATAATCGATGTGAACTTCACCGACCTGAGTTATTATATCCAGGTGCTCATTTGAGGTTATGTAGCATCAAGAGATAATTTTTTTTAAATCAGAATTGACCCAGTACATCAGGTTTTTGAGATATTCTAACCTATAAGTGCAAAAGAAACGTTTTTTGATCATCAGGGTGTCTAACAAGGATTGAGAAAAAAATTCCCTGACTTTTCCCTGACTCCTCCTTGAAATTTTTTGATTTTTCCCTGACTTTTTAATAACCTTATTTCTGCTTTCTTTGGACAAAAATATGGTTACTGACATATTTAACAATAAATTAATATCTAATGGTAGTAACAAATGGTAATAAAAAAAAACCATTCAAGTTTTTTTAGATTAAAAAATTTTTAAATTCAGAAAAAATTTTTATTTTTGTAGAAATTTACAGAAATTTTCCTGACTTTGAATGAAATTTTCTGAAATTCCCTGACTTTTCCTTGACATTTCCCTGACCAACAAAATTCCCTGATGTTTCCCTGACCATTAGACACCCTGATCATATTTGAGGTCATGTAATATCAAAAGATAATTTTTTTTAAAAAAAGATTGTTACAGCATCTGAAAGTACCATTATTACCCTTTAAAATCCATTTTGAAACTTTAAAAAATCTTTATTTGCCTCTGAGTTACAGTCATTTGAATTTTTTGAAGTAGTATCTGATATACATGAATACTAAAGCATTCACCACTCAGAAAATTCAAATAACGATAACTCAGAGCCAAATAAAGATTTTTTTTAAGTTTCAAAATGCATTTTAAAGCGTAAGAATAGTACTTTTTAAGGTCCGTTAACCTGGCTTGTCCACATTGTCCGATCTGGATAAAACCTATTTGAAAATTAAGGGCTAATTTAAGGCTAATTTAATGCCCTAATGCCGAATTTAATGCTCGGCATTTTCTTTAAAAAACTTGTGGACAAGCTAGCTTAACATTAAGGTGGCTTGTCCACACAATGAAGGAGCACTCGTAGGAAGGTCTACTATGGGTCAAAATTTAGGGCTTTTTTAAGGCTCTTGAAAGCTCTATTGTAGAATTTAATGCCGGCATTATTTCGCGAATGATTTGCAAAAATGCAATTTTTACGTTATCTCAGTTTGTCCACATCATGAAGGAACACTCGTAGGAAGGTCTACTATAGGTCAAAATTTAGGGCTTTTTTAAGGCTCCTCAATGCTCTATTGCCGAATTTAATGCCGGCATTATTTCACGAATTATTTGCAAAAATTTAAGTTTTACGTTATCTCAGTTTGTCCACATCATGAAGGAACACTCGTAGGAAGGTCTACTATAGGTCAAAATTTAGGGCTTTTTTAAGGCTCTTGAATGCTGTGTTGTGGAATTTAATGCCGGCATTATTTCGCGAAATATTTGCAAAAATTCAATTTTTACGTTATCTCAGTTTGTCCACATCATGAAGGAACACTCGTAGGAAGGTCTACTATAGGTCAAAATTTAGGGCTTTTTTAAGGCTCTTGAATGCTGTGTTGTGGAATTTAATGCCGGCATTATTTCGCGAAATATTTGCAAAAATTCAACTTTTACTGGATAAGTTTGCCCATTTCTGCTGCTACTCAGCCACTAGTCAAAC